TCTAACTCCTGGGCTCAAGCAAATCTCCTTCCTCTGCCTCCCACATAGCTGGGACCACAGGTGCCCACCACAACCCCCAGCTATTTTTTGGTTGCAGCCATCATTGTTATTTGGTGGGCCTGGGCTGGATTCGAACCCGACACCTTGGTTGTACATGGCTGGCGCCTTAGCCACTTGAGCCACAGGTGCCAAGCCTATGACTTCTTTCTTAAACAGGGTCTCACACACACACACACAACACTAAGAAATATGTAATTTAGAATTTATAAAGGTCGGACACATTCAATGAAAATGGGATGACAGTTCTTTGTTTGGAACCAAGATCACAGTGTAAAACAAACAAACAAAAAACCATGTAAATCCATGCGGACATCAGGTATAGTTTACAGTTGATTACATTGATTTTCTAACCTGAGACTTTACTAAATTTATTTATCAGTTCTAGGAGTCTTTTGGTGGGGTATCTCGGGTTTTCTAGATGCAAGATCATATTGTCGGCAGACAGGAATAGTTTGATCTCTTTCCTGACTTGGGTGTCCATTATTGTCTTCTCTTGCCTGATGGCTCTGGCTAGAACTTCCAGTACTATGTTGAATGGAAGTGGTGACATTACCCACCTGTATCTTGTTCCATTTCATAGGGGGAGTGCTTTAAACTTTCCCCATTCAGTGTGATGTTGGCTGTGGGTTCGTCATGTGCATATTATGGCTGTTATTATTTTGAGGCATGTTCCTTTTATGTTTTGTTTGTTGAAGGTTTCATTGTGAAGGAGTGTGGGATTTTATCAAATGCTTTTTCTGCCATCTAGGATCATACGACTTTTGTTTTTAATTCTGCTTATGTGAATCACATTTTTTGATTTGCATGTATTGAACCATCCTTGCATCCCTAGGATGAAATCCACTTTGTGATGGTGAATTTTGCTAGTATTTTGTTGAGGATTTTTACATTAAGTTCATGAGGGATATTGGTGTGAGGTTTTCTCTTTTTTTGGCTGTGTCTTTTCCTGGCTTTGGTATCAGAGTGATACTGGCTTTGTAAAATAAATTAGGCAGGACTCCCTCCTCAATGTTATGGAATCGTTTTAGTAAAATAGGTACCAGTTCTTCCGTAACGGCTGGGAGAATTCTGCTGTGAATCCATCTGATTCAGAGCTTGTTTTGTTGGATGATTTTTTTTTTTTTTTGAGACAGTCTCACTTTCTCGCAGAGTACCATGGCAGCGTGACACTACTCATAGCAACCTCCAGCTCTTGGGCTTAGGTGATTCTCTTGCCTCAGCCTCCTGAGTAACTGGGACTACAAGCACAGGAAAAATGGGGAGAGTGAGATAAAGCTGGGCTTTGGCTTAGGCAGGAAATGGTAAAGTGCTTCCGCCGATGATGGCTCTCTGTGCTTCTAGAAAAGATAGGGAATCATCAGCAGTGAAGCCACAGGCAGGTAATAGAGGAAAGAGTAGGAGATGAGGGCATGGCAGCTGTAGTTAAGGAGGGTTTAGCTGTGTCCCAAATAAGGTCCTTGATACTGGGAGGTGGGGTGAAGAATTGCAGGCAGAGATAGCTACCGATGTGCTGCTTTGAAGCAGGTCTGGAAACACATGTGTTCCTCCCTTGTTCAGAAATCATACCCAACACTGTACACCTGACTCAGAGCACAGACAGTAAGTGAAGGCTGATCATTCCACCTCAGAGCCTTTGCATCTGCTGCCGCCGACCCTCCCACTCTCACCCACAACTGCAAAATCTCTCCCTCTAGCACACACACAAAACTCTTATTTCCACTGATCTTTTCCCTCAAGAGCTCAACTCAAACAGCATTTCCCCAGGAGCCCTACTACTCCCCTGGCTGGGGCTGTCTCCTGGCCTCTGAGACCCTCTGCCCCTCTTGACTGTTTTCCTAGCACTTATTACTACCAGAAATGGTTTCCTTTGTTTAGAGGGCTGCTTGT